GTTTTCATGTAACATTTATATAAGATATTTTTTGATAATAACAATAATAATATTTACTCAATTAATTTCTATTGTATTATTTACCTCGAATCGAATGAAAACAATTTCGTTAACTTTCAAATACAGTTGTCGTTAACAGTAATCAGTCTTGCCAACCTAATCTTTTTTTAGGATTCACTGTCAAAAGTCGACAGTTTTCTCTATGAAGTACAGTACAATACTTAAGAACAACATAAAATGGCTGCTGAAATAAAACCTGCTGCAGGTTCTCAAGAAAAATTCAAATCAGCTAAAAAACCTGTTTTGATTTCGAAATTAGAAGGTTGCAGTGATGATGTAAATGCCGCAATTATAATACCTGGAGAAGATGGAGTCATAAGCGTGAGTGATGACAGGTAAACAAATAATAATTGCCCTTCAAAATTTTGTTATTAAACCAAACAGGTTGCTTGGTGTTTAAATTTTTTAAAAACTTAATCATTAGTCATAATTAAAATTTAATAAAAAATTCATTCGTTCTTAAAATTAAAGATTTTAAAAATCTTTTTTTTTTTTTAGCTAGTTTTTATTCGCGTTAAATTCTTAATAATTTAAAGTTTAAATGTATGTATTTTTTTTTTTTTTTTTTATTAAATTTAACTGTAAAATTTAATTTATTTTCAGGACGGTAAGAGTATGGCTAAAAAGAGATTCCGGTCAATATTGGCCAAGTATATGTCATTATATGCCTGTCGGTGCCACATCTTTAGCATATAATTCACAATCAAAACAATTGTTTATAGGATTAGAAAATGGAACAATATCGGTAAGTAAAAATTTTTTTTTTTTTTTTAAATATTTGTTTAATTAATAACACTTTTTTAATTTGATTTCATACATGTTCTAATAATAAAGTGCATAAATAAATTATGCATGTTTTTTTTTTTCACCTTTTAAAATTCTAGCTATCAAAAAAAAAAAAAAAATATTATCTTTGTAAATAATTGTCGTATTTACTTTTTAGGAGTATATATTAGCAGATGACTATAATCAATTAATATTTGCTAAAAATTATTCGAATCATCAAAATCAAGTGTCTGCAATTTATTTTTGTTTACAAAATAAATGGCTTTTGTGTGTTGGGCATGATAAATTTTTTAATTTTTACTGTACTCAGAATGCTCAAAGACTAGGAGGACATCAAGGAGATGCCTGGTTTACAGCTTTGCAGTATCCTTTTCTCGTTTAAATTTATTAACTTTTATTAAGATTAACATTAAATTCATTCTTTTTCTTACATTTTTTTAGGTTTTATTTTTTAAAAGATTAATTAATTTAAAAATTTTTCAACATTACTTTGTTTATGCTTTCTTCCTAAATAATCACTACAGATTTGTTCCTCAAACGAAGCATGCTTTCATTGGAGATTATTCAGGTAATATAATTATGTTAAAATTAGATGTAAAAGGCTGTCAAATGATCACTACATTAAAAAGGCACAGCGGAAGCATTAGAACTTTGGAATGGAATTCCGAACAGCAACTCCTTTTCTCCGGAAGTTTTGATCATAGTATAGTCGTTTGGGATATCGGAGGACAAAAAGGAACAGCATATGAACTTCAGGGACATCAGTAATTTTATTATTTTTTATTTTTAATTTGATTTATTTTTATAAATCGACAAATTTTAAAAAAATATATTTTTTTTATAGAAATAAAGTAACCGCTTTAAAATATTCATCTGAAAAAAAAATGTTGTTCTCAGGAGGAGAAGATTCTGTAATTGTAGCTTGGGATATGAACAAACAGAGAAAAGAGGTAATTTTTTTTTTTTTTTTAAATAAAAAAATATATTTAATTTGTTTATTATAAATATTCGGTTGTCAAAAAAAATAATTGATTTTTTTTGTTAGATACCTGATTGGAAAGAATCTGATACTTGTCAAAAGTGCAATAGGCCATTTTTTTGGAATGTACGTGCAATGATGGATCAACGTCAAATGGGTATGAGGCAACATCATTGTAGGTATTGTGGTCAAGCTGTATGTGCAAAATGTAGTACTGGAAGATCAAAAATTCCAATTATGGGTTTCGAATTCGATGTGAGAGTTTGCGAGCCTTGCAATTTGATATTACGAGACATGGAGTGAGTTATAAATTAACCTTTTGTTTTATTCTAATTCAACAATTCTTTTTTTTTTTTTATATTTTTCTATTCAACAAAAATTAAACAATAGTAATTATGTGTTTATTTTGAAAAATAGATGAAATATAATATAAGGAAACTGAAAAAAAAATTATTTTTTTTTTCAGTTTAACTTCTTTGGCAAAATTCAGCGATGCTAAACATTCAATCGTTTATATGGATTTGGATGAGAGTAGAAATCGTTTGCTGACGGTCGGACAGGATAGATTAATCAAAATATGGGATATATCGAGCGTGACACCGTAAATTTTTCCCCATTAATAAAATAACTCGAAAACTTTCTGACAATATTAATTCTTTGTTTAAAAAAAAATTTATTCTAGTCCTTTTTTTTTATGATTTATTTTTTTAATTTTTTTTTCACATGTCAAAAAGCAGCTTTCAATAATAATAACATGCACATTTCATTATTAATTTTAATTTTTTTTTTTAATATATATAATTTAAAATCTTCTTCTTACACACACACACACACACAATGATAAATATTTTTTAAATAAATTTTGCAATGAATTAAATATTTTCAGAAAAAAATGTAATTAATAATATAACCTCTGATATTTATAATAATTTTATTATATGTATATATATATAATATTATATTTTGTACTAATTTTATCTTTTTTTTTCTTTTTTTTTTTAATATATATATATATATATATATATATATATATATATAATATTTAAATTTACGATAAAAGCACGAGATATTTATAATAATAATAATAAAAATAGATTGCCCAATTATATAATAATAATAATTATCATTCCGTAAAAACAGGGCCTAAATTATATAATATGTTTTATATATATATATATATATATAATTATAAATAATATAAAATGTTATATATTTATATAGGAATTCTTAAGTACTGAGGTTATTTTTTTTTTTTAAAAATTTTAACTGTTGCTTTAAAATTTTAATTTTTTATTTATATTATTATTATTATTATTAAATAATAGGAGTGAAAAAAAAGAAAAATATTAGAATAAGTTTTTATTGTTATATATTTTATATATAATTATAATTTACATTTGCTTTTTTTTTTTTTTTTCTATATTAAAAAATACAAATTTATAATAATAATAATAATTTTATTTAACAACGAGAGAGAGAGAGAGAGAAAAAAAAACAAAATGTCGTCCTTTGGTATTAGCTTTTACATAAAACAAAACCTACTACAGTATTTTTATTTTTTTTTTAATTATTTAAATACCACGTGATTACTTTTATTATTATTATTATTATTATTTTCGGTAACGAATTAATTTTCAATTTAATTCTATTATTAATTAAAATTTTTATTAAATTTATTTATTAAAAAAAATTATTTTCATATGAATAAGAAGAAGAAAACTCGTAACAATTTTTAAACAAATAAAAATATATATATATATAATTTAAAAATAAATAATAATAATAATAATAATAATAATAATTTTGAGCACGTGGTATATTTTCAAAAAAAAAATTTTATAATAATTTGTACACAAATAATAATTTTTTAATTTGAAACACAATTTGCACGGACAATTGTACGAATAAGTATTTGTTTGTTTGTAATTTTGTTTTATTAGCGACGCAGCATGTTTTGTAATTAGTTTTTTTTAAAATTCATTTAAAATAAATTAATCAGGCTAATTACTGGATAAATTCCTCATTCGACGCATTTCTTTTACTAAAACGGTCATTTTTTAGTTAGTCGAATGAATTTCACGCCATTTATTAAATATATCAAGTTGTTGTATGTTCAGTACATCAGGTTTCACCGCTCGGACATTTATAATAATTCGAATCGATGCAAATATGTCCGTTAAATATCGTACCTTTGGGACAAACACCGATGATTTTAGCGTTCCAAAAACAAAAATAATAAGTTTTGCAATCGTTTGATAAATCTTGGTAAAATCCTATGGGTTTTCCATCGCAACTCGTATCGTATTTAACGGTCGATTTACAATTGAAATTTTTTAAACAAGTGTTACCGTTAAAACCGTAATTTTCAGGACACCAATTTTCATTCGTCATAATTTCATTTTTACACGTGTAATATTTTCTACAATCGGATTTATAATCGGAATAAACTCCATCTTCTTTACGAGAGCAGGGATTTATGAATAAATCGTAACAAACGGATTCTGGATTTTCTTCCAGAACGCATCCACGTCCGTTGAATATTTTCTTACCACCGCAAGTGAGAGTGTTGAGTTTTTCACCTTTCAAACAGTAGTGATATTTTTTACAATTTGATAATCTATCCGGATGATAACCGTCTGCTTTTCCGACGCAATCCTTTGATGGAGAAAATGGACACTCGTAGGTATCCTGAGACACGCAGTAGTTACCGTTGAATATGAATCCATCGGGACACACGTACGTGATCTTGTTACCGTTGGAACAAAAATAATACGATCGACATGCCGTGTTTTTATCTTGTTTGTAACCGTCAGGTTCATCATCGCAAACATCCGGGCTCGAACATGTATATTCGTCCATATTCACGCACTTATAACCGTTAAAAATTCGTCCTTCTTCGCAAGAAAGTTTCGTACCAAATCCACTGTTGCAATAAAAATAATTCGTGCAACCGGAAGTTTTATTTTGATATAAACCGGGTGGTAAATTATCACATTCTTTCATTTCCTTCGGTCCCTCGCATAAAATCTCACTATTTTCCACGCAACGTTTTCCATCGTAAGTACTACCCTCCGGACAGTTATCTATAATGACCATATCGTGATTGTGACAGTAGAAATAATTTTTACAATTGTTCGAATAGTCCGGATGAAAACCGTCTCTGAGTCCCATGCATTTCCCCGTTGAAAAACTCTTTTTCGAACATGACACCAAATGTTTTGGTACGCATGCGAAACCGTTGAAACCCGTACCTGGAAAACATTGTTCTCTTTCTATTACTTTTCCATCCAAGCAAAAATAATAACCTTGACAATCAATGTATTCGTCTGGATATATTCCATTCATTTTATTTGAACATATATCGTCGCAGGGTACGAGTTCTTTTGGAAGACATCGATGACCGTTGAATCTTTCATTTGTCGGACATTCGAAAGCCGCGGTGGTTTTCCCTCTCAGACATATTCTTACATTTTTACAATTTGTATTTTTAACCACGTGACTTCCATCCTCTAGGGATTTACATTCGTCTTTCGAACGGAAAAAAAATGCGGCAGCCGTTTTTTGTGGTTTTTCGCATTTTTGCAATTGCGATGGTACGCATAAACGTCCGTTGTATTTTTCACCGGGTGGACAACTATTTACTTTTTCGAGTATTCCTCCTTTACACGTAAATGATCTCACGCAATCGTGTGTCGTGTCAGCATAGGTACCATCGATTCTACCCGTACATACAGGTTCGTAACATATTCCATCTTCGACGCATGTCTGTAAAATGTAATACATCTCATATAATTAACACATTAAAAAAAAATTTTTTCTTTTTTTTATTTAAACTTTCAAACAATACCTTTTTTTGAAGGTCAAAAGTTGTACCTCTCGGACAAAGAAAATCTGACCGAAGACCTTTTTGACAATAATAATAAGCCTGACATTTCGAACCAGGAAAAATAAAAAAATCATTATAATCCGGATGGCAATTTGATTTTGCACAAGTCACTTCTTTTTTCAATCTACAACTTTGATAATGATAACTAAACGATTCGTCTGGCGGACATGAAAAACTTTCAATTTTTTTACCATTTTCGCACCTGAAAATCAATATCAAAATTGTCATCCCTCTGTTTTTTTTTTTTTTTTTTTTTTAAATTCGTCTTTCAAAACGAGTAACAAAATAATAATAATAATAATAATAATAATAATAAATTTTCCAACATGATTATCATGTAGGAAATACATTTATCCAAAACGCAAGGCCAAAAAGATAGATAGGTCTTCGTTAGCCAAAGGCATAACAACACAAAAAATATTTTTAATAATAAATTACATTAAATAAATAAATAATTTCTCTCTCTCTCTCTCACACATACAAAATTATGAGAATAATAATAATATTAATTCACATGAGAAAAAAAAATTATTAAATAACGGTTAACGGTATTGATTTATATATATATATAAATCCATACCTGTAATAATCCTGGCAGTTGGTCGCATAATCAGGTTTAAAACCGTCTGATTGATAATAACAATCATTCAATGCCGTTTCGTTTGTTGTCATTGAATTTTTTGGTACGCATTTATACCTGATGCTATCAAATTCGAAACCTTCGATGCATTGATATAATTCCTTGTTTCCATTTTGACACCTGAAAGACGACAAAAAAAAAAAAAAAAAAAAAAAATTACCTCATGTGTGTGTGTGTACTCGCCATCGATGATGGTCATTGTCAACATGGCATAAAATTATTTTTTTTAAAAATCAACTACGTCAGAATTAAAAGTATCCATTAATAATAATAATAATAATAAATTAATAGTAAATAGAAAACAAAATTCATCGTTTGTTTTATTATTATTATTATTATTATTATATTTCTAAGAAAACCAGCAGGACTACATTTTTTTTTTTTTTTTCTCCTCTTTTACGCAAAACATTAAAAGAAAAAGGTCAAAGAGTTCGTTGGTAAAATGTTAATTAAATACTTCTTTTTACGTCAGACTGGATACTACTATCTCTCCCCAGCATTCAGGAGGGGCTCGTCTCTCTCTCTCTCTCTCTCTATAAAATAATTTAAATTTGATGTGTTAAATATCCGACCTCGCAAGGTTTTCACTTTAAAAAAATGGCGAAAACGACTTCGAGTCAAAAGTTTGCCATAATTCAACCGTTAACCGTTGTGATTATTTCGTTTGTTAATTTTATCCCTGTTAAGCAAAAAAAAAAAAAATAATGAGAGAGATCGATGATGTGTTAGAGTGAGATAGAGAGAAGGAGATCGTTCGCATCCTATAAAGCATCCGGGAGCGCGATCCGGTTTTTTTTTTTTTTTTTTTTTTTCTTCTTCTTATGATACACGCAGATGTCTGACATTATTAATATTTTAACGTATGATTATTATTATTATTTTTTTAAAATTTTCCTTTTTGCGTTTAACTTTAAATAAATTGTTACGCGTGGGGAGAAGGGGGAGAAGGGGAAATTTAAATATTAAATTCTTACCGATAATATAAATTTTTCGAATCCGAATCGGAAAATGTAAAATCGATTGTATTATTACAAAACGAATTTGATTCTTCTATAGACAAAAGTTTTGAAAATTCCGTTAAAATTTCCGACGTGAAAAATGTCGATTCTCCAACGACCTATTAATAAATAAATAAATAAAATTCGAATTTAAAAATGGCGGTAAAAAAAAAATATTACGTAATAATAATAATAATAATAAATTATTTATACTAACTTACACTAAAACTTTCGTACTCGAAATTTTCATTAAAATTATAAGAAAATGTCAAATAGAAAAAACAACCTAAAAAAAAAAAAAAAAATTAATTTTTTGTTTATAACGTTATCAGGGGATAAATAATGATAATAACATATCATAACGATTCACGTATTATTATTATTATTATTAATTAATAAATTAATAAATAAATAATTCTTACTGATAAAAAAAATCAATTTCTCTCCGATCATAATTCTTTTTTTTTTTTTTTTTTTTTAACACGCACTTCGCCGCACTCTTCCCTAAGGTAATTTTTTCTTATTAATTAATAATGTACATAGATACATAAATTAATAAATAAATAAATTTTTACGTATGTATTTTTAATCACGATATTATTATTATTATATTTGCAGAAGACGAAGACGACGACGACGACGACGAGGACGATGTAAAGGCATAAGGTCTTCCCGACGACGGGTACCACCAACTACTTCTTGCCAACATTCAAATCATAACATCATTTATGAACTTGTATCACGTGATATTTTCCCGAAGACATTGACCATTTTTTAACGACTCAACTTTGCCGTAAGTATTATTATTATTATTATTATTATTATTTCATCACCCGGATGTTTATTGTCTACGAAAGATGATATTAGAGATGTTATCTCACGTAATCATTTTTTTCTTCTTATCACTGAAAAGGAAGTTTTTCCTTTTTATTTTTTTACGTTGGTAGTACTCGTGGGAACCTTATCACAGATTATCGTCAAAACAATTTTTTTTTTTTTTTATTGACAATGAAATTCTTTTTCTTTTTTGATATGACAATGGATTGTGTTAGTTTGGTACCTGCAAAGTAAAAAATAATGATGATGATGATGATAAATATAAGTTTATGGGTTTATTTAAAAAAAAAGTTTATGTTAATCATGTTTCAACCTTCACTCATTGACAATTTAATATTATCAGAAGAAAACTTTGTCGTCATTATTAATAAAAAATTTATTCTCGGTGGTTTTTTTAATTTTTTTTTAACAGTAAAATTTCTCATTCATCAGTTTTGATAATTATTTAAAAAAAAAAAAAGTCCTTCGATTTTTTTGTTTTTTTATTGATAATTTTTTAAACAAAACACCCACTTTTAATTGAGTGTTAATTGAAAACTTTTTTTTTAATTAACATATAATTATTTAATTGTTTTAATTTCATTGAAAAAATATTTTATATAATATATAAATAAAAAAATTAACAATTTATGATTTCTCTAAAGGAATAGTTAAGAAAACAAAAGATAAGATGTCAAAAAAGTTTTTATTATTGTTATTGTATTTATATATATATTATAAAAACAAAATTTGAAGGACTAAATGTTATCAAGCTTGAATTTTTTATTCTTATAAAATTATATATTTATATATATTTTGGTAGAATGATAAAGATAAATGGCAAATACCTTGATAACCTTAAATTTAATAATGACATTGCCCTCATTATTTTTTTTAAAATATTAAAACAACTTTTTATGATAACTTTAAGATGGTGTTGTAGATGTTGTTGATGATGATGATGATGATGATGATGATAATGATGGTGACAAATTTGTTTAAATCTTATAATGGTTTATGTTTTACAAAGATTAAAAGTAACATTGTTTAAGTGAATAATACTAAACTGTTTGATTTAACATTAAACCTGTTGAAGGAAGGAATGCATATTGTGTGAAGGAGAGAGAGAGAGAGAGTATAAGAAATAGTTTTTTTTTAATAAGAAAACACAAAAGGATATATACTTTTGGTTATATTAAAGCTTTAACATACCTTTAAGAGTATTAAATGGTAAATAGTTGATGACAAGTTGACCTCACCAAGTGTGAGTGAGTGGAAACGGATTATTTTATTAAGACCCATCTTTGTTGAAATGTGTGACGAGATTTAACGAGCTTTTGCGTGAAAGAAACAAAATCATAATCGAAATGAATATAATTATTATTTACTTATAAATAATTTAAATTACGTTATAAAAACATGATTTACCTCATTATTAACTTTGTAATTTAATTTTACTTTTTATTTTTTTTATCGATCAGGTAATTTTAAAATTTTTTACGACGGTTGATTTTTTTCTTTTGAAAAAAAAAAAAAAATGGCGACAAGTTATTTACTAAATTTTATCGGTAGATTGCGCTAACAACCCACGTGATGTTATAATAAAAAACAGGTATGCTTGCACTAAAACGTGAACTATATAGATGTCTCTAGTGTCGCCGCCGACATTTCATGGTGGGTTGTTATTAATACCGAGTAGTATTCGATGTTACGTGTTTTCCGTTAAAATGAGTTTTATTTAAAATAATATGTGTGCGTTTCTTTTTAATGGCAATAATTAGGAAATTAAAGGAAATTTTCAAGTGTAAGCATGCCGGTTTATTTATATATTTGTTTTTATTTATAAGTATAAGTAGTTTTTAATATAAACGGAGAGTGTTATTTTGAAAATGGACAATGGTACACGTCAATGATCTCTTGGATAAGTTAAAATAATTTAATACCATTTTTACAAATAGTTTTTTTTTTTTTTATTAACAAATGAGATTTTATTAAGTTTAGAAAAATTGAAGATAATATGTCTGTCGATCGAATAACGATTATTTTCTCTTAATTTATAAATGTATCGATTCGAAGAATGATATCGATGAATAAAACCATAATTAATTTTCTGCCATTACAACCAAGTGTCAAGTTCATAAAACAAAAAAAACTGACTCGATAAATTTAAAAAAAGAAAATTTTTTCTCTTAATTACTTTTATTTTTTTAAAGGTTATAAATAATAATGGCATTTTACAACAAAATTACCTTTTGATATTTAATATTTGATATGATTAATTTGACTTTTATGTAATATGGCTTGCTTAGGAAAGGGAATCGACAAACTTACAGATAAATAATTATAATTGTTGAGTTTTAAAAAAAAAAAAAAGAAATGTCGTCTGCTAATTTAACGTTAAATTCAAAAACGTATTATAATTATTTAAAGTAAAAATAATTTCAATGTTTGTATTAAATATTGTCAACAAAACGATTGAAATGAGTTTGCATAATGAGCCGCTAAACAAATTTGACATTGATTTTTCTAGAAGTTTCGAAACACTTGAACTTAACCGTTTAATTAACCAAAAAGTAACGGTTATTGAATTTATTATAACAACTTTTCAAACATTTGTAACATGAATCGACTCATTTTTTTCTTTTTTTTTTTTTTTTTTTTTTATTCGATTTCGTTATTTATTTAAAACATTTGACGACTTTTTAAATTATTTATTTTTTCCGATTTGCAGATGTTGTAGGAAAAAAAATTCCTTTTCGTTAAAATTAAGGTTAATTATGTTTCGTGGTGGTAGTCATAATAATAATACATATATATTATTTTATGTAAAAAATTAATTTGTTTTGGTTTTTTCTTTCGGTTAGAAATAGTTTCATTATTGTTTTTTATTATAATTCTTTGATGAGAAATAAGTAAAAGGATTTTTTTATAAAAAACTTTCTTTGCCATAAATTTCATTTAGATATTTTTTTTTAATGTACCAAAAAAAAAAAAAAAAAAAAAGATGGCGGTCGATTGATTATGTGAAATCGTTGAAAGATTTTTTTTTTTTTTTTTTTTTTATGCAAGTTATCCGTTTATTTAATTTAACAAAAATCTAATAATTTATAATAAAAAGTAAAAGTAAGTTGTTTGAAATTGTTTTCCAACCGGATTTGTGCAAAAAAAAAAAAGAAATGATACCAAATTGTTTTTAGGCTTTGTAATAAGAATTTTTTGGAAAAGACAAACAAGGTATAAAATTTATATTAATTAATTAATTAATTAATTAAATGATTATGAATTTCATTCGATAGTTTTGTATAATTTTAAAGATTTTATTGTAAAAAAAGATTTGTTTGCACGAGTGTT